GCTGCTTGGGAATTCTCAAACCACAGTCCCATTGACAACGTTTGGGTAGAGTTCGTTAACAGATTCAGCTACATCGTCAATATAGCATCAGACACCAAACTCCTTCGTCCCGCAAAATTGCCTTCAATTCTAAGGAGCAGGACTAGAAAATGCCTGAACATAAGGGATGCAGCATGGCCTGCTTACAAGATTAACCCCGACTCCGAGACTTGGGGAATTTTTCTGACCCATCGCAAACATTGCACTGCACTTGTCCGTGAGCACAAACTAACTTATCAACAGTGCCTAGCCAAAAAATTTATGGTAAAGAACAAACTACTGTATAGGTATGTCAATAAGCATCGCAATGTGAAGCAAGATATCCCTCCACTTTTCACGTCACGCGGTAGAGTAAAAGTGCCGAAAAAGCAGCTAATACCCTGCGGAAACAATACGCCCCAATTTTCGAAATCGCAACCTCTACTTGTCCCATAACGTCATGCACATTACCGATCCCATTGTTTACAAATGTAATTTTCAACCAATCAATTGTGTTAAGAAAGTTAATCTCACTGCATGAGCACAGTTCTCCGGGAGCAACAACATCCGCCCGAAGGCACTGAAGGCTGTGGCCAACACGCTAGCTGAATCACTGTCACAGTTCTTCCAAAGCTGCTTCGATGAGCAACAAGTCCCCACTATGTGAAAGCGTGGCATTATCACCCGTAATTTTAAAGGCGGTAGCCGTTCAGATCCTGCAAACTATCATCCAGTGACTCTCCTCCCTGTGCTCGCGAAGTACTGGGAAGCGGTCGTAGCTGAGGCTTTAATGGACTAGTTGGAAAAATGCAACATCTTGGTGCCGGAGCAGCATGGTTTCCGTCAACACCGGTCATACACCACCAACCTACAGATTACACGAGGTAGTTGGACGGAAGTGGCTGATGATGGTGTCGGAGTCGACGTCATCTATCTGGACTTCTCCAAAGCTTTCGACCGCCTTGATCACCGCATCCTACTTTAACCGCTACAGAGATACGGAATCGGAGATCATGTACTTGGTTGGATTGGCCGCTTCCTTCACCAACGAAAGCTTCAAGTACGTGTTAGGGGATCACCCTCTAACAAGATTGAGGTGGAATGTGGTGTTTCACAAGGCTCAGTGCCGGGACCACGCTTATTCCTTGTGTTTAGCAACCACCTGGCATCAGTTATCTCCTCAAATTTCCTGCTTTTCGCCGATGACGTCAAGATACGGCGGGCGATTAGTAAAAAGGCAGATCAGGATTTGTTCCAACATGACTTATATTGCATTTACGAATGGTCGAAGAGGAACAAGCTTCAGTTGAACATAGCTAAGTGCAAAGTGATACATCTGCGTCAGCAGCCAGTGAGCGCTTACAAGATTGGAGACCACAACTTGGAGAAGTTTTCTCAGGAGCGTGACCTGGGTGTATTAGTAAAGGAAGATCTTGGGTTTTCAAAACAAGCAGGGAAGGCGACTAGAACCGGCAATCAACACTTCGGCCTACGCTGAACCTTCGGTCGGTTTGAACACTCAACATTTCCCCAAATGCTTAATGCCGACGTGCGACCTCACGTAGAATATGCTATTCAGGCGTGGCAGCCATGGCAGAAACAGGATCTCGTTGCTCTCGAGACTCCTCAACGAAGGGCAACCACGAACTTCAGGGGCCTCTTTCATCTACCCTATCAGCTTAGACTGAAATCTCTAAGAATGTACAGCAGTCGTTATCGGCTTTTGAGTGGGGATCTCATAATGGTTTACCTAATTCTGAAGAATCCAAACCACATCTGCCGTCCGCTGCTGGAATTTAACTACAACACTAAACCAAGAGGTCACTTTCTGAAACTGACAATTCATTACAGCCGGCTTGAATGCCGTAGAAATTTCTTTTCCCTTCGAGTGTATCAGCCTTGGAACGCCCTCCCTACTTATGTCACCTCTGCTCCCGATTTGGCGATATTTAAAAAGGTGTTGACGATTCTTTGTCTCACTTACATTTAATTTTATGACTTGTTAGCCAGGGGCTACAATACGCAATCAAACAGTATCTTACCAAACGTCTAAATAATGGATTTATGGATTTATACGTTTAATACGCGAACATCTCCGCTACTCCACATAAGTCAATGGTGAGTCCACCACAATACTTTTCACTTTATCATGCAATTGATTTTCGCAATAATTTCCATCCTACGGGACTTGATAAGCAATGTATTTTACCCATAATAAACCATTGTTCCATTGTTCCATTACTCCCTCTTATTTTCCGGAATATTATCCAAAATCATGTGAACCCAAGAAGTTTGGCTAAAAGTTCAATTCAACGACCAGGATAGTAACGGCAAATGTACCACATGCTGCTTTGTGTGCAACTGTCATAGACAGAACTATAGAAAAGCAGATGCTTGAACTCACATTAACAGCAATTTTATCAAGCACTTGTGGGATTTCAAGCTGGAATTATAATCATGGTTGACTAGACGACAATGTTGGAATAGCCGTTTGTGACTGGATTGCGACGCGCAACCTCAATGCAATCGCCGGTTCACACCGAAGTGAAACTGCTTGTTTGCTCATGACGATAGTCTATCGACGTCGTAAATTAGAAACGTTCTCACTGTTTTAATGCGTATATTTCACAGAGATTGAAGTTGTTTTCAATACCTCTACCTGCAGAGGAAACAACAGGTTTTATTTCTCTTACTATGCCCTAATTGGTAATAGCACGCAGACATTTGTCAAAATGCTGTTACCAGAATGCGGACAAACTGAGAGTTTTTTAATGCAGTCGTTGGCCGCAGTTTCTAAGGTGATGGATTAATCTCTGTTCCGGGGCAGTCTCCAAGTACACGACAGTTAATGGCAGCTTAATAACATTGGTGATCTTTGCAATAAAACTCATCGTACGGCAGCATTGACCATACCCAGCGAAAATAACATTGCACTCCTGGTTTCATAATTGTTCTAGTTCATTTGTGATTTATTTGAAGGTTAAAGAATATATGTCAGAGACATTGAAGCCGTGGTATCATTAGACGAAATTATCAAGGTATACATGAATGAGGATGCTGATGAGAGAACCTAAAATCAGGTGAAAGTAAAGGTTGCTGAAATGGAATTCCACACGGCTTTTTCCTTTTACTAACCTGTCCAGGTACGGCCCATCTTCTCTTTAACCATGACCCATGCGACAAGACATATGCACTGGAATGCGTACGTGATCACATGAGAGAAAGCTGATCCACTGCAAGTGAAATGGTTGCGAAATTCGTATATGTATGTGATACGCCCGAAATTAAAGCGTTAATTATAAAGCGAAACATATTGAAACAGTAATGCATAGACATGCACCAGATGTAGGCATGTGCTAGACTCTACACGCATTTGATTCACTGCGCAGCCGTCCTTTCGTCTACATATACTCGAACCTCTATGTTTTAAATCGCATAGTTTATATCCAACACAATCACACAATCACGAGATAAATATTTATTTGGTAACCACCCGTTATTTTCTTTTGCATAATTGCCATTCATTCTCAGTTATCACCTTTTTATCCACCAAACGACTGGATGTCGTAACCAACCGGTGAACGTAAAGGAAAATATCGCTCATGAATTGCTATTGAATTGGCCACAAGAACAACAAACTATTGGCGGATCTGCATCATAAAGCTTATTTCATCCAGTCTATTGAAATGTAGGTAACCTTATCTGCATTTGTTAAGTAATTAAACTTGCTCTCACTGAGACCATATCACTAACATTTAATACATCGTCTGAGTAACAGATACCGCGGAGTCCTCAGTAGCATGTTGTAGGTATGAATTCTATGCCCACTGTGAACGCTTGTAAATGTGCGTATGTAGTCGGAAGAAAGCCCTACGTTTACGCGTATATTGGAACTTCACAGATCATCTAATTTCTGTTAGCTGAAATCCACCAGCATTGGATGTTCGTTTTGACACAGTGTGTCATAAATTCGTACCAATCTCTTCCCATCTGTCATGTATTCTTGAGTGTATGACCAATGACTAATTCCTGTTATTTTTCGATGAGGTTTCCTTGCGCCATTGGACAGTATGGTGGCTTATTATTTTAGTGCCCTGCGAACTCTACGTTAGACTTTTCGAAAGGTTTTATAATGTAATTTGGTTGTGATATCTTATACCTTTGCTTTGTATGCTGATTTTAAACATTTACCAAGTCACGGCTTGGTTCCCTCAGTCCGCCATTTCATAGTCCTACTTACATATACAATATATTTCGCGGAATAGGCGGTAAGTTTGTACTATCTCCTACCTGTAAATTTACAGTCGGCTATTATTATTGGTATATGCCCACCTTCGTTCTTAAATGATTTTCCATGTGTGTTTTAAATCGATGCCATTGTCAAATAGATGACGCCACTTGTATCACTGCTCCCTAAAAGGATGGTAAAGGAGCATCTGGAAGGCCGTTTACTCAATCCTAAGTGTACAAGCATGTAAAGGGGCGGTTTCGCCAAGGGGTAAGTAATGTCCATTTTGCTGTTCAGAGTAAATCTAAGGAAGCATATTCCTTACAATGCTACAAGGGTGAAATCACTAAAATATTACTGCTCTGAACCAAGACATCTGCGTTACAACTGGCGTAATTCTCGTCGCCCGTTTTCATTATTTACACTGGGTTTTGGGCACCAGATGGCTGCAGCGCATGTCGTCCACTGGCCTTTTGCTGTTGAGGAAGCGGCATCATCTGTATGCAAGAACACTTTTTGCGTACTCAGACCAATTGGGTAAGACTAGCGCATTAAATGGATTTCGTACAAAAAATTGACTCGAATATTCAGGCTGCCCTCCTTATACCACTACAATGATTCATATGCTTGTCGGTTGACAACACGGAGATAAATAATTAGGAGTGAAATCTGAGGTACGTAACATTACGGCTTACTGAGCGTTGTGTCGGAAGTGTGGTATGTGGGTTTTGCACAGATATAAACGGAATGCAGCTTACCGGACACCGACTTTCATCACGTAGAGTAGCACGTAATGAAGAAGAGCGTTCAAACAATTGCCAATGATGCCTATACATAGAGGCGGATACACCGTGTTCTATAATAAAGTTAAAAGAAACGCTTATGTGCTGGGATATGCCGGGCTATTTACTGAATATCTGTCATCCGGATAAACTGCCAGTTGGTTAATTTTGGCCCATGGAAGAATTAAATGCAACATACTCGACGACTGCTAATAATTTCACGCGCTACTTTTGGCGCGAGTTGAATAAGTTGAGAATAAATTATTACCTTAAACTTAGGCTGATTAACACGTCAGTATCATAGTGGCGCGGAACCACGAGGCTCACCTGTGATTGTAGATATTTGGTCAAACATTGTCCAATTGCTGCAAACTAACAGCGTTGAAACGTTCAAAACTTCATGCGTAACAGAATATTACCCACAGTCCAGGTGAAACACAGAGAATATAATCGGCTGCATCTCTAAAGGAATAACATAGCAATACACCGTTTAGCAGAACCTTTTGCGTGTATACATGTCAGCAAATATTTGACAATACCACAGAGCACATTATAAGTGGATTTTGGAATATCTAAAACCGTACAAATGCTATAATAATCAAAGCAGTCATATTACACAACACACGGATAGATGATGGAATGTCATCTGTCAAATTTAATCTACCGGGATCAGTGTCGTGCTAGAGAACTGAGGACTAAATATTGCAAAAATTTATCACAAAATATTAGGATTATCTGTCCCGTTCATGATATGGACTTCGTCCTCTTGCATATAACCACCTACTTAACTTCCTCTGGCAAAATCAGTTCATTTACGCCTACGCTTACAAAAGCTGTTAGTCTTCTGACCTCCTGTGATTTAAATTACATAAAGTATCAGGAAAGACAGTCATCTGTGATCGTGCATTCAATATGATCGCGGAACTCACGACGGGCTATTTTAAAGTTATATGTCAACAATGGAGTCTTCACCACAATGTCGTAGATGCCGATACTGTTACTCCCCTTTTAAGATGGTAAAGTTCAGCAGCAGGTCCGATGTTACCAAAGTAGTCACGATTTACTACCAGGGTTGGATTATAGGGAACAAACTTTCCACTGTTAATTATGCCTCGTGCGTTCGCTACCAAATGTGCCTATCCTTTCTGTTTGCGATATTTAGGAATTCTAGGAAACAACCAAATGCTTACTCTGCGCATGATTTTGCACATGACATCGATTGATTAAACTTAAACGGAACACGTACTATTACAGCATTTTTCCTTATCATGTCACCTAACATTACTGCTTAGACTAAACACAGATCGTACCGTGATATGCGCCCAATCAAAATTCGATTATTGTATGCCTAAATTTGAGAAACTCCCGAGCTTCATTGACAACAGTAAAAGCAGTGTGGGCAGAGACCTGATATATCTGTTAACTAAACCTATATAAATAGCCTAATTATTACACTATGTTGTTGCTGCTGCAACTTATGCTGATTTTAGGTTTCCGTCCATCGAGTCATCAAGGGCTATTTACTAGATCATATTTCACTACCAGTAATATTGTTCCTCGTATGGTCCGTAATAACTTTTTGTTTTCTATTCTATGTGTGCCGCCCTTATCAAGTTATTCGGAATATAAGTTTCAATCCTATAGTAAGGGAATATAGAAGTTCGGGATTTTTGGACAGCACTTTCATAACGTTAATTATTCTATTGTTAATAAGCGTCATAGATATATCAACAATCCCTTGTTCTTCCTAATATTGAAGTAATCCTTAAGCATAAATAAAATTTTGTCGTTATCCGCCTAGTCTATGTTGTCAGGTAGTTTAAATGGAGAATCATGCAGATAGTATATCAAAAAGTTAGTTATATTTCTGCTTGCAAGTTTGATCAAACATTCAAAAAGTACTCTTCTATTCTATTCCCCTAATATATGCTTACGTTAATTGCAGACCTATATGCGTAATATATTAGCTGTTGACAGATTTAGAGTCACACTTTGTTATGATGTTTGTGAAATCTTTTCCCGTTGGGCTCAAGTAAGCACTGGAACTGAATTGCTCAGTTTACATACCCACTGCTTTTGCGTTTGATAGATTTATTGCTAGGTGTTAATCAAATGTTTTCCTCACAAGTCTTTGACCACATCGCCACGGCTTTAAAAAATGAAGTTAAATTACATACGCCTAAAGGGCGCATATTTTCAGGTTTTGATAGTTTAGTTGTATCGAACAACTCTTGCGTTATGGAGGAACTAATTATGTCTGACTGTGGTGACATTAAAACATCCGGCATTTGACGACAGCAGCCAAAATTAGCAATAGGTTAGTGTTTTTATGACATAACTCTAAAGCCGCCATAGACCCATCATGATTAGGAATGACGCGTACATACACGAAATAAATCCACACATCCGCTAATCTTAACTCTGTGCCACTCGGGTGATGGAATCCTGCGACATGCACCAGGTTTTTTCATTATTGGACCAAATCAAACGACTGCGAAGCGAAGAGGCGAACACTTGACGTAAAGCTATTAATCGCAGGGAATATAGTAGTTTCTTTCTAAAAACTGTGTTTGAATCCGTTTCTAATTTCTACGAAAGCATTAGCTTAAATCTTGTCTCACCACCACGAAAAAGGGTTGCCCGAACTATAGAATAGGGAAAGACCGGAATCTGGTAGAAACACAGTTATCTGATCAAACAGTCAACTGTCCCTGCAACTCATGGCAAAAGCTGAGTTCGCCAGCATCTTCGTATAAGAGCAGTTATTAAATTATTAACAAGAAATTTAAATCGCTTTACGGAAAAGAAGCTCATCCTACTGAGCGACACTAAACAGATCATCGGTTTCTGATTGAGCTAATAATAACACATGCATACGAAAACTGCAATGTTCTACCATCCCAAGGGCTTTTAAAGCAACAGGTTACTTTCATGTGAAAGGGCCTTTAGGAAGACCCACCTTTTCAGTGTTCTTTAGCTTGAATTGATGAATCTACCCCATTAACCCAGGTCAGCTCAACATTTTACAGGCCAAAGCTGCCGTATGCTTATAGTTTGCACTGTTAGCTTTTTACCGCATGCGTGAAAAAGATTTATTGTTCACAAGAAAAAGTTTAGCAGGCTTCATGCCTTCAACAAATACCGTCATATTAAATAGCCATTAAAGTTTACTTTCTAAGGATTTATGACTATAACTAACATGTGTTAATGCACTGTAACTCTCTTCTCTGCATACTATTGCAGGATTCAGACCAAAAGTGATATAATCGGTGACCCGCCCTCACTGTGCAATCTAATTTCCTTAAAATATTCATGGTGTCATAAAGGTAAGTTAAATATTTGCAAATGTCTAAGGGATTTCTCAAATCAATTGCCAGAGGACTAAGCTAATTTCTCTTGCGTATCATATAGAATTTTACGAATACCACCTCAGAAGATGTACATAACGATAATACAATGATGGTATTCTATACACGTGAATCACGTGTCATTACTACCAAGGAAGCTAAATGTATTTTTCGAATAGCGTCAGTAGTGTTCTTTTTAATGCAGTAGTCTTACTGTTGCACGCTATAAATATACACAGTACATGCAGTCCTGGACGTACTTGTCCTCCATGTCATGACCGTCATCCGGTGTTTCCATGGCATTCTCCGCTAGCTTGCTCGAGTTATCCCTCGCTATAGCGTTCGAGGTAGCCGGTTTAATGATTTACTTCCTAAAGAAAATAACTGTAAAAAATACATCATCTACCCCAAAGGAAATTGATCCCACAAAAGGCGCACTAGCGATTGCTACGGTCATTCGCTTAACCGCTAGCGAAGCAATGAATGTAGTGGAGCCGTCACCCATTAACTCAACATAGTATGTCGAAAGCAGGTCGTAAGAATTTTCCATGTGTTCACCTACTCCAAAGATGGAATCTATTTAAACCACTTTCAGCTTCAAAGCACGAGCTGTTAAATCCGCGCCATCTGCTTTTCACACATAATCGGACCGAAAAGGTTTAACAGCTTCAACCACCCAAATGAACGAAAAAGCTTCAGTCGTTCTTAACTTATATTGCTCTGGCAAAAACGTTAACAGCTTTTACGACATCATTTGTCTGACATTCTAAATGTAAGAGTGAATTGTGGGTTTCTGGGTGTCATATCTGCCATAAGTACACTCTATGATGGTCCGGTTTCTTCCTGGATTTGTTCCTCAAATACTGATGACCTGACCTGGGAATGGCATTCGGCGTTCTCTGAAAAATGTTGCCCCCATGTATGATGTATATAAGTCCTAAAAATATATACAACGAGGCATCAGGAGGTATTCAAGAGTACCTAAAACGCACCTTGCTGTTTGTGGGTTTTGTTGTAGCAGTAGAAGCACAGGTTCCGCAAACAAATGCAGTGAAATGCAAGGGATGCAGCAGAAGGTGATGATGACAATGGCTGAAAAAGACAAGTGAACTTGGATTATTCGGCGCCGATAGCAGTTTGAATGCTCATACGGCAGGTGAGTTCTAACAGGCACATGTTCGGTTTGAAGGAACAGAGTTGCGCTTTTTTAATGATAAAGTTGCGAACAAGGTTGACTCGCGTGATCTGAGCCAATGGCTACAATGTTCCCCAATATTTGCATTGCTTTCTTCAAAATCTAGTTTGTGAAGAACTATATCCAACTGAGATAGAATGTGCATAACGGAGGGGAATAAAAATTTAATTTTGCAACTTTTCCAAATATAACTGTTATATGCGCGTTTTCTTACCTCTCTGCAGTTGAATGCGCAGCATGTATTGTTCATTACTTCCGTACGTCTGGAAAGAAAACCAGCACAATGAAGTCGTTAGTAAGGCCATGGGAGTATTATTGTAAAGAAGGCTAGCGGTTCCTATTCCGTTGGTTGGTATGTTAATATAAGTATTCACCATTCGTGTTTTCCACACACTCCATGACGAATGATTCGTAGGCTGCTGTACTCGCTCAAGTTTTCCACAGGTTTGTTTATGACCTATTAAATACCTAAGCAACGAATAAACTTTAGAGGAACCGCCAAAGCTCCGCTGCTTCCTTAGATGCTGGTTGGATAATACGTCCAATAACCCTCAGCCACTCAAATAGAAGTTCGCGCAAAAGTTTGTGGCTTTTGGATTGGAAATCAGCTAGAGTTATTTTATTGCTTAAACGGCAGGTGACATTTTGCAAGTGTGGTTTGTTGGTTGCGAGATGTAAGTGAATGTCATAAGTAGATAGATCGTTATTTCATAATTATCTTGTAATCATGATGCTGTAAACCATTCAAAGAGTACGTTTTCTGTTGTCTGATATATTCTTTTACGATGGCGCATACTAGGTTTAATGAACCTAAGATATTGTGAAAAATTTGATCAAAATTTTAATGAATAATAGACAATAAACATCTGCTGAGAATGGAATGGGGCTGCTGCTCATTTGGTTAAAACTGCCAGCTAAACTGTACAAAACTATACGGCTTCTTAATAAATATTTTCACGTTTTAAAGCATGCCAATATTTAAACGAATAATGCATTAGGGAAATCGTTTTCACTACGGTTGAAATTCCTTCATTAGCAAAGAAGTATTCATCGAGATGTTTTCGAATGCACCAACTAGCCAACCGCCAAATCAAACCCAGAATGCATTTGTTAAATTTCCATTTGCTGTAAATCTTTTTCCGCTTTCCGGATGTATACCTCAACAACTGGATGTTGGAAGTTAAACTGTGTTCAACTACGAGAACATGGATATCGATTCAACTTCTCGAGTGAACAATCACAGAAATGACAAACATTTTCCTATAATTTTACTAGAACCGACAACCAATGACACAATCGATGAAACCTTACCTGAGAAAACAAAGTATCAGCAGCCGTCAATAAACCGATTACAACAGCCAGACCAGTGACGTTGAACACTGAGTTCGCCAACCCTACGGTGGCAAGTGCATGTTTGCCAAGCAATCCACATGATACGGCACTTATCGGTCCGGAAAGGAAGGTCATAAGCGCCGTCATTGTCTGCAAAATAGTTGGAGAGCTGTCCATGATCAAGATTTAATTCTTTGGGGCTGGGTTTCAAATACTGTCAAATAACAAGTTCCTATAAGTTGTAGACCACTGAAAAACTCGGAGCTAATTACCACTATATACAATGTTTGGGAGAAGTAGAAACTGGTAGATATACACATTATATCATCTTGTACCAAAGAGCTGTCTTAGGTAAGTGGTTATCGGTCCGACTGAAGTAACTGCTGGCTAGCTAATCCTGTGTCCAAAACATCCAGCAGTTGTTTGCCAGGCTTTTTGAACACGAGATTAGTTAAAGTATCAGCCGAATACAGCAGAAGAATGGAACAGATAATACAAATCCAGACAACTGAAACCATTAAGGTTATATTTGCTTGGAGATTGGTTGCAAAATGGCTCTGTTTGTCAGGAAATTATTGTTCAATTTAGGGTGTTCTAGGTCAAGAATTAACCATGCTAATTTAACCATACTAATTTAATTGCATTGTGTGTTCACTTGGCAATAAATTCGGAGACTAATCGATCATTCTGAGTAATTTCTGGTAAACAATAGACGTCTGGCCATATTTGTCCAAATAGGACTGCCATAAAATACACATACTACTAAATATTGCGCATTAATTTGTCTTTATATCTTACAGTGCCATTAAAACTTTAGCAAAAGTTTGTTATAGATGCCCATAGCACTAAAGGACCAACCATGCCATACATTTTCCGTGGTGCTCTTTTGCTTTTGCCCCATAACATGCGGTCGCTCTGCGATTGTTACCGGTACCACACAATATGCATCAGATCTAATTCTGAAGGATTAGGTATATTTGTGCATCGCGGTGCGCTTCCTTAGCTATTGCAAATGACTGATACGTCGAAAACAGTAAGCTCTGCAAATACCTGTGCGCCACTTTCTAGAGAGTAAATGTAGCGGTTATTCAGTATTCTTTGAATTGTCTGGCGGGAAATATGGAATATTTCCCAGAAAACCACGAAACTTTATGTCCTTTAATTGAATTTCTCTTTAAACAAGCGCTGTTTGATTATGCACTTCAGTGCTCATATTCTCTGCGGAAACACTTGCATTAAATGATTGTATGTATAAAGCTGAGCATTTCTGAACCCACGCTGTCGTTCCGAGAATCATTTTCTTATGCAATCGATGTGACGTGTGCAGTATCACAAGGCTCGGTTCTTGGACCTCGTCTAATCTTGGTGTTCATTAACGATTTGTCGAGATCAATTACTTCCGATTTCCTATTTTTCGCTGACGATACCGAGATATGGCGAAGGATCAGAGGACCGGACGACCATGAAAGGCTCCAGCACGATCTTAACACAGTGTCAAACTGGTCACTTAATAACGCCCAACCTTTCAACATAGACAAATGTCGCGTTGTACAACTACGCCATAGACATAACTACACCTACATACTTGGGACAAACGGATTGCAGAATAGCTCCCAGGAACGTGTTCTTGGTGTGATCGTACAGAGCGACCACAACTGTTCAAAACAGGCTGAGGTAGCTGCGAAAAGAGGCAACCAGCATGTCGGCATGCTGCGAAGGGCATTCGGCGATTTGACCCATAAATCTTCCCAATGATGCACAATTCCTACTTGCGCCCGCATGTTGAATACGCTATCCAAGCTTGGTAACCTTGGTTGAAACGCGACCTATAAGCGATAGAGGCATCACAACGAGAACAATAAAGAATATAAAGGACCTGCGCTATCACTCTTACCACCGAAGGCTCAGATTGCTGGGAATTTTCAGCGGACGCTTTCGAAGACTGCGCGGTGATCTCATATTAGCGTATCAGATACTGAGTGACCCCAACCACGTATGCCGCCATTTGCTGAAACTTAGCCACAACACGCAGCTCAGGGTAACTGCCTAAAGTTGAAGGAACAATACAGCCGTCTAGAGTGTCGACGGAATTACTTTTCACTTCGGGTCTGCCAAACCTGGAACGCACTCCCAGACTCAGTGGTATCCTATCCTACCTTGGCTGTTTTCAAAAAACACTAGATGTTGCTCTTTGCTCCCAACGTTTTGTTAACTAAGGTACTCTATTGCGGATTAAGCCAAGGATGCATTTCAACAGGACTTATGTATCAAATGGACCTAAGTGAGCGACAATATTTTACTTTTCTCACTCCTTACCTCAACAATCACTGCACCCCAGAGTCTTTCTGAACGTTTACGCGTGAAAATGTTTTTTACTTTACACTGATTTTAATTATCGAAGTATTCATCTCGGCAGACGTTCGATAGATGACCCAGACATATTTTACTTGTATCATATTCACCTCAACCATCCTACGGGACGTGTCAAGCACTTGCTTTTATCCCGAGATAAATCATTGTTCATTGTTCGTTGTTCACTCACATTAACTGCAAGATGCATCGGATTCATAACCAATCCAAGGACTGACGTACCTACCATCACAACAAGGCAGGAGCATTGTGTGAATTTGGTTAAGCAACCAAAGTAAGATGCTCTTACTACAGTATCAAACATAGGTGCAAAATACGTCAAAAAAACTAGTTATGCTCTAAAATGTCAGCACTCCATCCGCTAAGAATGAGTTATATCCTTTCCTGTAAAGCGGATATGCTTACATACGGACGTGTGTTACCGGGAACTTAGCTGATGTTTTCAAGGTTGCAATAGGCGAAATAGCGAGGAATCCGTTTCAGACGATGCGGAGTCCAAACCAACTCGAAACGAATTATTTTCTTTCCGTTGATCTAGACAATTTTGTTACTACAATTTTCATTCTTCTTAATATCCTCAGTCAAGCACAAATGAACCCCCTTACCAGCATGAATACTAAGAGGAAGAGTATTAAGAATTTTATCTCTGGACTGTGCGAATCATTCTGAGCTTCAATTTTAGCTAAAATATGAATTATCTTAGCTTGGAGAAACATGTTGAATTACACGTGTGATTGGAATGCGTCGCGCAATCTCAATGTGAACCGTGATTCACAATAAAGTCAACCTGGGTCAATTCGATCACTAGGACCGTAACTGAAGTAATAGGAAACTTTGTGTTGACCGTCAGCAAACACTGCAAAACATGACGCGTTTCTACTTTATTTGATCTTATCATGTGAAGATAGCAGGCCTCGAACACGAGACCATTCAGATGTAGCAGGGCTGGAAACACTCCATTTCCAAGAAAGCAGTTTCGCATACTCGAATTCCTGCTGCCGAAATGTACCTCCAATAACTTTTGTTTAGCTGGGAAGCCTCTGATATTCTCACTGCCCACTCATGCTTCCTGTTTGTTTCAAGCGCCTAACCATTCGTTTCCAGACACTTACTAAAAACCTGGAATCTCTGAATTTTCTGATATTATGACTAAAATCTAATTATGTGTTATAACATTCACAGAGGAATGTCTAATGCCCTACGGGACACACTAAAACAATTGTTCACAAGAAGTCTCAATTCACTTTAAACAAACAGTGCAATTAGATGCCATGAACTGTGTTAATTGAACTTGTGACCTTTTATCACGCGCATAGCAAAATCCTAGCAAGCTTTATCTAATTCATTGCTTTCAACATATTTGGGCTTTTCAGTCAAACTTAATACCTTTATTCAAGCGGATTCTAAAATTATCAGAACAAATGCGAATCAACTAAAACAGTGAGAGTTATATTTATCCACTGAGGGGAGTCAGATAGCAAGCTATTAGGCGAATATACTTGTCAAGCTTAACTATAGCAGCTTTAAAATAACGATTTGTCGTAATGTGACTCAGTCTTTTAAGTAACCCACATGTGTAAATGCCCTGAAAAGCAATTCCTTCTGATAAACTCGTCGACCGTGTTTTTCTTAAGATATTTTTCTATAGTTAATCCTAGGGTTACACAAAATGCGACCAGCAATATTTCCCGCATGGCATTGTGCGTCAACAATGCTTCATAGTCTCAACGAACTTGAACGAGTGGATTATTTGGGTCAAAATGTCGTTACTTGACAATGACAAAATATAACACGCACGTATAAACAATTTTGCTTGTACCTCAGCATATTATCTGTGATGCTGCGATAGATTTTATTTGGTGTTGTAGCGCTAAGGTTCCATTACAGCCAGCCGTACTAGCTGGCCACAGAATTGCTTGGAATGCAGGACCAGAGGAATCATGTATCCATACTATATGCGCAACGTTAAATCTTGCCACATTGTTCTGGTGACTTATAATCTTCAAAGGCTTTATAGAAACGGAGTCGAATATCTGAGGAAATCCGTACATAAATGTGGGTTTAACACGCAAACTTCGAAATTGTTTTGTTTGTACTCCTAGTGCTTTCGGAACAGTTACTCGTGAGCGCTGGAATGGATGTTACGATTGAGGGAAAGCTTAATATAATTGTCACTGGCACGGTTGGAGCACGTCTACGGTAACGGCTTGGAACGCTGGTCAATCGAACGAATTTGCGCTGCCCTGATGGCGTTAGCTTAGCCCGGGGTCCGCGCTGGCGATACGGAATTTGAGCGAGCGTGAGAACGAAGCTAGCCGCACTTATTCGGGTAAACGCTGAGCCTCGGGACGGAAGCACAAGAGAGGAGGTTACGGTAGTCACACACTATTGTCTTAGACGTGAACGCTGTCCGGCTATCGACGCACACAAAACCAAGTGATCGACCGACTCCCAAGTAAGGCGAAGAGGAAGAAAGGCAAGTGCTCCTCTGAAGGCTCATTACGACCAAGAAATGGCGAATCACAGCCAATGCAATGGATCATTAAATTAGGGGAAATTGCTACCACGACGGGGTGGTAGTTTGTAAAAAAATATTGTCAAAAGGTGCACTGTTGGGCCACTTCTCGGAGTGGCTGAACACTGCTACTTTGTAGGGAGGAATTGGCTTTCGCTTTCCACAGCCATTATGCCGGAGTTTCTGGCTCGTTTTTGCGGGGATATTTGACGGGCCCGCAACAGGAGTGTATCAAACAATTTCACTTAGTGGCACGGCATTCTGGATTAAATTCTCAAAAACATTTTGATGGTAAGGAGCAATGCCCCATGAACTCATATGTTTCATTAATCCTTCAGACCTCTTAATTACAGCGGAGTAGTAGGGGGATTTGAACGGCATGGGTATAAATTCGTCAAATCTACACTAGGGCAGACAGCCTTCACAAGCCTAGAAATGCACTGTATGCGCGTTTCATCCTTTCGGGAATCATCAGCAATGCTCATTCCATCGGACCCTGGTAGGGCTCGAACCCCGCAACTCGACTGTTGCCAGTCCGTGGTTGAGACCACTGAGCTACGGGGGCTACCATGTCCTCTGCACGGTAGTAACCTGCAAGTCAGTGGATAGTGAGCGGCGCTATATAACATCTAGTAACATATTCACGATGGTCATTGACGTACCCCGTAGCTCAGTGGTCTCAACCACGGACTGGCAACAGTCGATTTGCTGGTTCGAGCCCTACCGGAGTCCGATGGAATGCGCACTACTGATGATTCCCAAAAGGATGCAACGCGCGTACCGTGCTTTTCCGGGCGTGTAATGACTGTATGATGTGAGGAATTTCTACCCATACCAGATCTCTAAATGAAAGGTAAATAAGCGAAAATTTGCTTTTCTATCTCTAGCGAGGTCGTTTATGGAAACTACGCTTCGGTGCGGCTACATCCCTTGTCTGTGAAAGACTACACAGATGCTAGAACAAGTCCGATTGGTATGAACTTGTATTAGGTTTAGAATTGGTCAAAGAAAGAAGTCGTTTATACAACGGAGAATAAATTAACTAGTAGTATTCCCTTGAGTGATATAACGCTTTCGAGGATCTAGCCTGTTAAATACTTTGAAGAAATCTGTGTATGCGAAATAAACACTTATAATATTATAGCTGTGTGCTAGATAAGTTAGATTTAACACACGCGTACGATAGATATTGCACAATTGCTTGCGCAAGAGAATGTTATGGTAATCCGATACATTATTCTCATGCAGAAGACCTCGCATCCACCTAATGCATAAATTGGTTTCCTAGACCAACACGTATTTGATGATAACCTGAACCGCTGCAGAAGCATCATAAAATACTATAAGTGAGCTACGACGCAATAAATAATATTCGCATCTCTAAAGGAGCTCTACCACATTCCGTTTGGCTAAATGCGAGTTGAAGGGCAGATTCGGTTTACTTCAAATAAAATCTAGTTAAGGTGGACCACTGAATTCATCAATAACCTGGTGGTGTGATTCCGTTACTCTTCACTGTGAGAGTGTTTATGTGAATTACAAGCAATTCGCATAAATTGCATCCCAACAAGACGAAGCATCTGATAGGTTTTAAGTGCACACATTGTAAACATATCGTTGAATCAAGGCGCAGCAAAGCTACATGCCAATTTTGGTGTCCAATCTTCCAGATTGTATTCTCATTTTTACAGTCACTTTAGGTAGAAATTCGTTACATATAGACTCACTCAGACAGCCGCCACACGCCAGGAAAAGCACTGTAAGCGCGTTTCATCCTTTTGGGAATCATCAGTATTGCGCATTCCATCGGACCCTTGGTAGGGATCGAACCCGCAACTGGACTTTTGCCAGTCCGTGGTTCAGACCACTGAGCTACGGGGGACAACAACGACCATCGTGAATACGTTTTCTAGATGTGATATAGCGCCGCTCACTATCCACTGACTTACACGTTACTGCCGTGCAGAGGACACGGTAGCCCCCTCACCAAGCGATGAGCTTACGAAATTTAAGCCGCCAAGTAACTTATAGAAGTATAAGCAGTTTTTCAGCGTACTGATTACAGAAAAGTAGTAGGGGGAGTTGAATGGTATAGGTAGAAATTCATCACATCTAGACGCACTCAGCCAGCCGCCACACGCCAGGGAAAGCACTGTACGCGCGTTTCATCCTTTCGGGAATCATCGCAGACCAAACTGCTTAGAATGCCATAAGTTTATTGGCGGCCTAAATTTGGTAATCTCGTCGCTTGGTGAGGGGGCTACCGTGTCCTCTGCACGACAGTAAGGTATAAGTCAGTGGATAGTAAGCGGCGCTATATCACATCTAGTAACTTATGCACGGTGGTCGTTGCCGTCCCCCGTAGCTCAGTGGTCTCAACCACGGACTGGCAAAAGTCGAGTTGCGTGTTCGAGCCCTACCAAGGGTCCGATGGAATGCGCACTGCTGATGATTCCCGAAAGGATGAAACGCGCGTACAGTGCTTTTCCGGGCTTGTGGCGGCTGTCTGAGTGAGTCTAGTTGTAACGAATTTCTACCTATACCATTCAACTCCCCCTACTACTCTTCTGTAAACAGTCAGTTTGTTCCGAAGAGTTTCAAGCATTAACCAACTTTTGAATTTGTATCCTTGGATCGCAGTTAGAAATTCTTGCACAAACTGCGTGAAAAAATTCAATATAATTCATTCAATATCTAGACCGAAAACCGAATTGATGGCCACCGACTTTGAGGTGCCGATAGAAGAGTCGGCTGCAGACTAGTTTACCAAAAACGAATCATAATGCAAACTTGTCTCACAATGACAACTATGCCTTTTCTTCTCAACAATTTAGTTATGCACCCAATTCTTGGCCATTAATCACAAGTGGACGCATTAATGTGTTAGCCAATGGGCAACTCTGCCATTGTTTAATCATAGCAAAACTAATTGCTTTACCGAAAGGTGACATAGATGGGAGAATAGCCTAAAGAAATATTTGCAAAAGCCATATATAAAAATTACGCATTTGTTGATTATGATTCAGCTAAACTTGTGTACAAAACTTGCCACGGGATTCAAAGAGTTATACTATTTTAAAAGCGCAATACAATGTGAGGATGGCCAAAGTTACTATGCACTTTAATTAGTCCATACTACAAAAATTCCGCAAGTAAAAGCAATAACTTATGTGTGTTAATCTCCTTGTTTGCACTTACGATAGGGATGGCCAATCGAAGCAACTCTTTAAACTCATGGCAGAATCCGAATGGAAAGAATTTCCCAATTAGTCCCGTACGTACAAAAGTAGGAAGTTTGATTGCGGCTGTGCTTGTATCTGGAAACCATAGAAGGTAGCACGAGGGTGAGCATAATTAAGACCCATTACTGCTCGAACTAGTACAAAGTGAATTTATCTGTGAAGGTATGTTTCTTTACTCATGCCTGACAGGGTAGTTTCTGGATACTTTGAATTTAGGATTACTCATCTAAACACCTGTTAATGGCAAGTACAGTAACAATGATTCTGTTATCTACATACAGTTTAAGGTATGAATAAGTTAATTACTCGGCATTCATAGAAATTTTCTGTTCGGCTATGGAATCAAAAGGCGAAAACTTTGTCTCTAGGTTCTTATATCGTAAGGGTTTATATGAATTCCAAAAGCAAAGGTTTGACAGCTCTCGTAGGATGGTTAGGGTGAAAATTACAAAATAAAAGGCAGTGTCGGGGAACAAACGCGCGAGACACACGGTGTTATGCAAAGATCAACGTCTCTTTCTCCCAAATAAGAATTTAGACATACCAAAAGAAGTGCAGCCACCTGGCGCTCTCCTTCACCAACGCCAGGGTGGTCACAAATAGATGGCGTTGCAATCAGCCTTAGATGGCGAGACTTCAACCAGGTTGCAGATCGAGTTAGTCTAAATACCTTGACTCAGACCACGCTTTGTTCTGCGCAGAATTCGGAATGCCGTTTGGCGGTTTTTAATGCCAAATAACCATACGCTCGACACCAACAAGTTAGCTGACCTGGCTATTCGATCCGTTTATGAAGCACCTTGCCTCATGCATTCATTAGCACTCCATTTCAAGATGACGATAATCATTGGAATTGTCGACTTTGAGCGATGCTGTCTTCCAGTCATTCAATCTGCAGGACGACAAGACAGCGCCAGAGACGCGGGATTTCCGCACACTCAATAGAATTCTTTGCACGTCTTAGATATATCCTGATAAACTCTACTAGCAGTGTAATGCCAACGACTTAAAGAAAATCTGTGTGCCGATCGTGAAACATTTTGGTCTCAACTCGTTTCAGATGAAAACGACAGCCCTTTCTGGTAACATTCGCAAGCTCTTTCAGTACATTCGGGCCACTGGTCACAAAAGACCTGGTGTCAGTGAGCTTAGTTGCGTGGCTGTCGGAACGCCGATTATCAACTTACACAGACGCATGAACCGCTGGGTTGAACACTTCTGCGCATAATTCAGGCGACCACTTCTGCTGGCGAGCTTAGGAGGTATACCTAGTTGCGCGCATTGGAACGTTTCATGGGAACCACGCACTGAAGCTGAGGTATGCCTTGAGCGCCGAGACTTGAAGCGATTCAAGTATGCTAGTCTAGACGGACTTCCTCCGGATCTGTTCAAGTTCGGTGATGAAGCAATTGTCAACCAGCCGACAGCTCTGTTCTCTAAGATCTGGTATGAAGTAACGGTTCTGTCCACTTGGGGCCAGTCAATTATCTTCCCGGTATTCACGACAGGTGCCCATACCATATGCGCTAACTACTAAGGAAGGAAACTAATTTCCATTGCCTCCAAGCTCTTAACAACCATTCTACTCCGCAGACTAATCCGGATTCGAGAAAAGTGCTCCGTGGAGAATAGGCTGGTTTCTGCCCCAAGCGTGGGTATAGGGCTCACTTGTTTACGCTCCGCGAAATATTTGAAATGTGACATGTTTACCGCCATTCAAATATCGTTGAATTTCTATTCATCAGAGCCGCATTCGAATCCGTCGATCAGCCAGCTTTGTGGTATTGCTTACCAATTAATGGGGTACCCGCAAAGTATAGCGCCATCCTTCGAGCATTATATTGCACTGTCTTAAGTACATTAATGGGCTTACGGTAAGCTCTCTTCACCTTTTGCTGTCCCTAGCGGTGTACAAATGAGTGGACTCATGTCCTCCTTTTTTCAATTTTACGATCGAGGATGTTCTATTAAACGCTCTCGAGAGCTTTCAACCTTCTAGATGCATAGCTTCTTCCAGGCAACAGCGTGACTGCTTTGGATGAAAAGTCGATGCAAGCGAACATATCATTTCAATGATTTTTCATCAGGCTTGTACAATTATGTGTGGAAAAATCTGGTAGACACAAGTTTATGGTTGCTAAATTAGGTTCAATTCACCATCACTGATAAAGCACAATCGCAGTCCGTTAGGTCACAACTGCAGTGTGCACACAACTCCGTGGACCAAGCTCCACATTTCTAGTGGGCCGGGACAGTCCTGTCATTTGAGCGAACCGTTTCTGAACGCACCATTGTGGCTGGTAAAGATGAATCGCGATGGCCTCAGCGGATTCAACTAAACTCCTACGGGCACACTTTGGTCGATTGTCCGGTGCCTGATAGATCATGTTAAATGACCCATTTAACTTAGTTTCCTGGCCAGTATCAGCGATAATATGCTGATGATATTTTATTGCTTAGTGATGACGCACAGAACACACAGGCCGTTCTAAACCGCTTGGCGATTGAAGCACCAAAATATCGCACGAACTTTACCACTAAAAATGCAATCTTCTGGTCCTGGATTGTCATCTACCTGCCTTCCCATTCAAGGTTTGCAGCTTGAACAAATGGATATCAGTGTTTACATGGAAAGATGTGTCTCTGCTGATGATATTATTGGAAGAAAGATTTTTCTTCGTATTGCCAAAGCCCTTTTGGCGTTTGCCAACCTGCCGCATCTGTGTCGACGCCGTGAAGTTTCGTTAGTGTTTTAAGGCGGAATTTACAATGCTTGTGTTCGCGCGGTGCTGCTGTATGAGGGTGAGTGCTGGCCGATTCGTGTGAATGACGCGTAGTATTTCGGCCTTTGACAAGGGACGTCTGTGGAAAACAACTCGCGTTTGATTGATGAATCGCGTTTGAAATGATGATGTTAGACTTCACTTCTTTGATAACACTCGACTTCCACTTGACGGACAGTACATCAACTTCTATAGTGCGGTACCCATACAGTACAAACGAAACCTAGTCCGCACTCTTGCCTTCCGGGCACATAGATTTTGCACCCCGGACACAATCACCAAGGAATTGCAGAGAATCAGCGATGCGCTAAGAGCGAATGGGTATCCAGATAAATTCATCCTCAAACATTTGAAAGAACGCAAGATCAAACCACCGAGGATGCACGTACCCAAAACAGAACTAATTGTGCACATTCCTTTCAAAGGCGACAGTGCGGCTGATGCCCTGTCCAAACGCCTGAGAGACACTGTTGAAAAGACCTATTTCGCGGCTCGCCTACGCATAGTATTTTACAACAAGCCTTTATTCGCAAAACCTTTGAAAGACAGGCTGCCTCCGGTGACCCGATCAATGCTTGTTTATCTTTACTCGTGCTCCTGTGGGGCACGATACGTGGGTCCTACCACGAGACGCCTATCTCATAGGATTCGCGAACACATCCCAAAATGGTTTTACAAAGGCGAAGCGAGGTCGAGTAACAGTTGCATCTTATCTCACCTTCTAGAGTGCAGTCACGCAGGAACGGAAAATGATTTTAGAGTCATCTATACTGTTCCTGAACGTTTCACGCGCGGATTCCGGATGCATCTGCTGTCTATCGCGGAAGCTATCTACATCCGCCATCTTAAGCCAGAAATATGTGTACAAAAACAGTTTGTACGTCCTTTATTTCTACCGTGGCCTACAACTTCGGATGTTTTTTCCCCTGTACATACTTGCCACCTACAATGACCCCGTGATTTATTGATTTGTACCCGTGAAATTAAACATTGTGTTCAATACGCAGCACAATTCGGCACATTTAGCATTTTTCCTCATCATGTAATGTTTGAGTCCGATGAGAATCACCGAAAAGAATTCTTTACTCAAATTCTGCCTCCCTTGATTCATTCTAATAAATGGGAACTTTTCTCCTTTCTTCTTCTTTGTGGTTTTCGTGAAGATAACTTCCATGTCCTTGTTTTCGCAAGTCCTATGTTTATCTCACAGACCTTCTGATAAATATATATATATATATATATTTATATCATACTCGCATTTTCCGAGCGAAATGAGTCGTTGATACGGATCAATGCCAGGGTGGCAAGTACTTGCATATGATTCCAGTTCGGTGTGCACAAGTGAAACAACCTTTTACCAGTGATCAGTCGTTTACAGTACACATAAAGTGTAATGTCTGACAGTTGGAACACAATGCTCAAACATTGTCCACTTGTGACCAAACAGAATCATGTATCTAAAGAGAACTCGCTCTGGAAATTCCGTGGCAAGTGACCCATTCCGACAATTTACTGACTAGTGATTATCATGCTGTTGACAGTTCATATTCAGTTCCAAACTTTAGTGATGTGAGTGAGCATAGCTATATTGCCCGATTTTTTGACCTGCGCTTATGAAAAGGTAGATAGTAAGCGGATTAAAGGCGAAAGTGCAGAGAAGCCTACCAGATGTTGGATTGGGCATGGCCGAACTTCTGGGTAGACTGAGAGAATGGTAATGTTTACTGTACTGGTATGCCATTGTCTTAGTAGGTTACATCGTAAAGAAATCAGGGCATAGCGACAATTGTTTTGGAGCGAGAAATAGCTGCACCCGAAATATACTATGTATATCTTTAACAATAGCTTATGGTCACAGGAGAGTAGACCGGTTATTTGTGCTAAAGGTTGACCAGTTGGATGAAACACGTTACTTTATGGAAATATGCAAACCAGTGTGAACACTGTTTGGAAAACCGAATGTTTGACTGTGGGTAGCAGACTTAGTTGATGTAGCATTGCGGTTGTTGTCACGCTAAAAACGCTATCATCGGCGAATATGTGCTATCCCTACCTGTTAATATGTAAGGCTGCGCAAAATAGGTTCCTTGACAATCCACACAAACCTCGGAAGAGGACGATCGGACCAGTTCAGTCTTAAGAGATGGTCAGTGACACGGAGAGCCTGAAATGAACGCCCCCATGGCATTCGCCCTTTTGTGCGATCTCTTCCATCAGCTCCGCAAGCCCGACATGGAATATAGGAGGCAGCACCTCAACTCACGATTGTACTTTAGCTGTTATTGTTATATT